GTAGCCTGATCTTTCAGGGATAAATTTTGATGTTAGCCATTTCCATTAGTCGTTTCGTTTCATTCCCAATCTTGTTATGATCCCGCTAACTGTACATGTGTTTATTGGTCACAGGGTGCTTTGCGTGCTGATTACTTTTTACTTCTTGACAGGTTATTCTGATTGTTGTAGTGGTCACTGGGAATAATTCTTACGGTACGTATGTTCCTTGACGATTCCATATGTTTGTCGTTGTCGGGTCTCATTTCGGCACGGTTTCCGGGGGTCAGATCCAAAGTGTTTCTTCATGCTTCTTCGTTGCTGAGTAAAACTTACTACCCGAGTCTTCCAGGTGAAATATTTGGTCTTCTCAACATAATTTAGACATCAAGGTTAAAATAAGTATTTTTGCGTACCATCATCCCATCTATATACATTTTCATCATCGTCAGTTCAGGTTTTGTAGATTCACTCCTGGAGGAAGGCCTCTCCAAGACTTTGCCATAAACTTCTGTTTTCTGTTAATTTTGCCCATCTCGATCGAGCGAACTTCTTCATCTCCTCCTGCCATAGATCTGGAGGTTTTTTATGGGGCGTTTATCGTCTCTTCGAACACGGTCTCATGTCTCTGTGGTCCGGCGATGGTCCGTTCTCTCAAAGTGTGCTGACTATTGCCATTGTAACTTCTTCACTTATCCATTGATTGGTCTTCCTGTCTTCTCTTGTTATTCCCACGATACATCTTTCCTTGCTACGTTGCGCATTCTGCAGTTTATGACTCGCTTTAATGCGAAGGGTTAACTTTTCATGTTCGTAAATTACCACTGGGAGAGAACACCTATTGATTACTTTCCGGTTCGGGAACAAACTCATTTTCTCGGATAAGAACATTCATTCCTCTAAAAGATCTCTATGGCATTTTTATTTTTTGATTTCACATTGTCGGTTCTTCGTTGCACAGATGCACTGTTGCAGATAGACGTAGATCTGTACCTGTTTAAGCCTACGTCCGTTGTGTTTAGCAGGTCACGGGATCATGTATTGGTCGAAAATTATATGGATCTTTTTAAGTCCATTTTAGGTTCTACTTCGATGCTGGCATCGTTCAGGTATTGGGTTCTTTTTTGGAATTCTTCTGGTGACTTCTGAGAGCTTCAAAAGTATCAAAATATCGACCACATACCGCAGTGTCCTTAACTATTGCCCATTTATATTCATCTCTTGATTTTCTCAACGGAGTGTATTGAAAGTGTTTCTTCTTCGGATGCTATGAATAACTTCGGTCATACCGTCTCTCCCTGTCGAACTTGATTTTCGATTTCGAATTTGCTGTATATGTACGGCCCGTCTTCTGCGTGCAGCTTAGGTATTTTTTGCCAAACCTTGGACGTTAACACTTGATCGGTAACGTTGCAGACAACGTCTGACTGCGATGCCTCTACGGTCTGAAATGGTAAGCGGTCGTCGAGACACCAATTAAAAACCAGAAATAAACGACTCATTTCCGTCGTCCGCATCTGCATTCAGAATGTTACGGTATATGCAGCTGAACTTTGAAGTGATCAGCACAAACTCGGGTCCAACAGACCTTCTTCTTCACACCTTTGATATTTACCCACCGTGTAGATAGACATTATGATCAGAAACAGCAACGTATGAATGGAATGACCGAGACCATATATTCTATGAGTTTTTGCGTGACATCGTCGTTGTAGTGATTCGTCATAGTGAGCGAGTACATCTAACTGGCGACCAGTTATTGAACAGAGATGGTGTGTAACGATCGCGTGGTTCATTACTGCCATATTTTCTGGTTCGAACTTTACTCGATTCCATCGGAGCATGCGGTCAATCAACACTGACTTTTTTAACACTAATTAATTGGTGGCTTTGATCGGTTACTTTGACGACTTCGACTTCGCGTAACTCGATATTCATTCGTTAACTGTACCCGATGAAATACGATCCACTTCTTCCTCATTGAGTAACAGGATATAAAATCTTTTTTATAATTGATGATAAGTAAAAACAAATGATAGATTGACAACACCTATCTTGAAAGAACATGGCAGCTTCTCAGAAATTCATTTAAAAATTGAACAGTCGTTAACAGTGCAGTCAGTTGATTGAATAATTAGATTTTGTCAGATGATAAGTTTACTTTCATAAATGAAGTACCTGTAGATGTGAAGTTCTTCCTACCGATCATTCATTGTCATGGAATCCGGATTCCAGTCTAGTGCCTCTCTTGTACGTAGATAGCCCATTTTTTTCCCATGTGTCTGGCCCATGAACTTGCCACTTGAGCTTCTTTATTAAACCAGTGATATCACGAACGCTCGTTTGTGTTCTTACCTGTTCATTCGTCTTCATGTGTTTTCTTGTTATATCCAACATGAATCTTACCATACTGCATTGCTTCGTCTGCAGTTTCTGAACAGCCTTCAGCGTTAGTGCTCATGTTTTGCGTTGGAAGCACCACTGTTCGAAAACTTTCCGTTTCAAGCACAACGGTAGTTTTCCGGATCAGAACGTCTTCACTCTTACAAAAGTACTCCATGCCATTTTTATCCTCATGTTGATTTCACATGGTCGGTGATCCGTTGCAGCCGTGAGCTGTCGCGAATAGATTTAATTTTCTAGGTGTTCAGGCCAAAGTCCGTTAATTTCAACAGGTGGCGTCGTCGCGTATTTGTTGACCATGGTCTGAATCTTCTTCAAGTTCATTTTAGTCCTTTTTTGAAGCTGGCATGTTTCAACTCTTGAATCTTTGTTTGAATTCTTTTTATAACCTTCATAAATTGGTATATCGTCCTCCAGTCGCATGTGGTATTATTATTTTCGATTTATGTTCATCCCCTGGTCTTTTTAATGGCGTCTTGAAAACCTTTCCTTGGACTACGGTGAACAACTTTGCTGATATTGCATTACGTTGTAGAATTCGATTTTACAGTTGCTTATGCCGCGGTGAAGCTTCACACTGACAGTTGCATTATTGTAAATATCGGTGATGATATCTGTGTGCATTTTCTCCTTTCTCTCGCTCTTCAAAAAAATCAATGTGGTACGGATAAAGATTCGGTCAAAGGGCCTGTCGAAATCGACGAACCCCACCTCAGACAAATTGGAGCCTGATATTAGTTGCATGCCTGAATTCCTTGGTGTACCACTGGAGATGATGCATCGTTTTAAATCTATTTCTGAATCCAGCTTTCTCATTTGACTGTATCGCTCCAGCTTTCGTTGAACTCTGTTCACCGCTACCTTCGTGAAATTCTTGAATATGATTGATGACAAACTGGCTTTGCTGCAGTTTTTTAAATCTCCAGCGTCTCCCGTGTGGAACAGAATCGCCATACGGTAGTCCATTTATATGGAATGTTCATTTGCTCCAAAGAGCATAAAAACAATCTGTCACTTGCTTCACCTTCTGATTCCGCGAGTTCAGCTGTAATGTGCACTCGTCGCCAGAAGTCTTTCCTCATTGACCGTGTGACTGTTTTATTACACGTTGCAATTCATCTAACAAGATCCCTGAGGTTTGGTCGACTTTATGTGTATCTTCAGTTTCCTTATCGTCACAACGAGTGTTACTGTTTTCTTCTTACTACGGTTTTTTTTATAGAAATCTAAAAGTCTTTTTGGAATTTATTGTCTCTACCTGATGACAGACCCCCGTCTGCTGTGAGAACTAAAATTTGTCGTTTCCTGACCGTCAATCTTGCTTAATTTCTTGATGTTTCGGTTTTTTGTCAGTAGTTTTCTTTACCAGTCTGCAGTTGAAACGCTGGTCCGTCTTCTTTTTTCATTTCTTTGAAGTTTCAGAAATTTTACTCCAATATTTTTTTGTTGGTGCAGAGTTCTTTGAAGGATT